TTCCAGGAGGGATTAGGGATACAAGGGATATTTGTCAACATAATAAAGGTAGTTCACAGCAAGCCCATAGCCAACAACAAATTAAGTGGAAAGAAACTCAAAGCAATTCCACTTAAATCAGAAACAAGACAAAATTGGCCATTCTCTTCATACCTAGCCAATATAGTACTTGAAGTCTTAGCTAAAGCAATAAGAAAATTGAAGGAGATAATGGGGACACAAATTCGAAAGGAAAAGGCCAAAGTATCTTTATTTGTAGATGATATGATAGTCTACACAAGTGATCCAAAAATTTCCACCAGAAAACTTCCACAGTTGATAACTTCCAGCAAATTAGCTCGATTCAAAATTAACTCACAAAAATCAGTAGCCCTCCTATATACAAATGACAAATGGATTGAGAAAGAAATAAGGGAAGTAACACCTATAAATAATATACAATATATAATAATATAAAATATATACATATGCCTGCAAATAATATATAATAAACCTGTAAATAATATATAATATATAATAATATAATAATAGATTGGGGTAACTCTAATTAAAAAAGTTAAAGACTTGCATGATAAAAACTTCATGTCTTTGAAGAAAATATAAGATGGGAAGGTCTCCCATGCTCATAGATTAACATAGTAAAAATGGTCATTCTACCAAAAACAATCTACAGATTCAATGCTGTCTCCATCAAAATTCCTATACAATTCCTCATAGATCTTGATAGGCTAATTCTCAACTCCATATGGAAACACAAAATACCCTGGATAGCTAAAACAACCCTGAACAATAAAAGGACTTCTAGAGGTATCATTATTTCTGATTTCAAATTTCATTATAGAGCTATAGTAACAAAACCAACATGGTATTGTTACAAAAACAGGCATGTTGATTCATGGAATGGAATTGAAGACCCAGACATCTAGTCAAACAACCATTAACAACTGAGTTTTGATGAAGAAACCAGAAAGTAACATTGGAGGAAATAGTGTCTTCAACAAATGGATGGCTGCATGAACAAGTAGCCAAACAGATCCATACTTACCACCCTACACAAAACTCAAGTTTAAGTGTATCAAAGACCTCAACAAAAACTCAAATACACTGAACCTGATAAAGATAAAGTGGGGAATAGCTTTGAATGCATTGGAACAGAAAAAGATTTTCTGAATAGAACAACATTAGTGCAGGCACTAAGATGGACAATTAATAAATGGGACTTCTTGAAACTAAAAGCTTCTACATGGCAAAGGTCAATGCTATATGAACAAAGTGGCAGCCGACAGAATGGCGAAGAAATTTACCATCCAATAGAAGACTAATTTTATATATATATACATATATATATATATATATATATATATATATATATATATATATAACTAGATATCAAAAAACAATTAATCCAATAAAAATGGGGTACAAATCTAAACAGAATTCTTAATGAAGGAAACTCAAATGGCTAAGAACCACTTAAATGCTCAATATTGTGCAAAGAGAGACCTTGGATCATTCAGCTCTAGATGAGATGTCGCCATCACATCTCTCACCGCAAGGCTCAGGCAACCCCACAGAAGAGGAGGTGGAAGGAGTCTGAGAGCCAGAGGGAATGGAGGAAACAGAATGCGGACAGCCCTCTAAATCAACTGAGCAAAGCTCATATGCGCTCACAGAACCCAAAGCAGCAAGCATAGGACTGCAGCAGTTCCTCTGTGTATATTTTATGGGTTTTGGTTTAGTGTTTTTATGGGACTGTTGAGTGTGTGAATAAGTAGGGACTGCTGAGTGTGTGAATAAGTAGGG